TTGCCCTGCGGAACGGCCGATACTCAGGACTGTGAAAGGTCACTTCAGTAAGGTGGTTTTAAGAAAGCTGTGGAAAATGAGAACTTATTAAATGCAAACTTGCTAAAAGTAGACACTGTTAATAAGTTCAGGCAGTATTTTTTAACTAGTAGTATTATTTGTCAGACACTAACACCCAGAACTATAGACAAAATTTTAGAAATTAGTTACCACTGGAGGTTAAAGCCTACATACTGAAGAGATCAGGCAACTCCTAAATTTCTATACTATATAAACACAGCATAGATTGTGTATTCGTTTTTAGCCCTGACTGCACATTAAAAGCAACAACATAGGAACAGCTGGTAATTCAAAGAAAATTATTTTTCTAGATCCTCCAGATGTATCAACAGGCATTAAAGAATTCACAAAGAAACCATGCCTGTTCCATTTATTTTAGAAAGTGCCTGTTTCCATAAGGTTCCTGCAATACCCTATTTTAACCTTGCTCATACCCTTTAGTTTAGCTAAAAATACATACCCACACACCCCCCTCATACTTTTTTTGTAGGTCATATAAAGCGAGTGTCCAGGATGAGCCAAGGAAGAATCTGACTCTAGTCAGTATGATGACACTGCAGAAACAGCCTACTCAAAGATATATTATTACCTATGGCCCATCTTAGGTTTTGCTAGAGCTAGCCAAATATATCCCACCTCCCTCCTTGTTTCATTGAAGGGGATTACAGGATCTAGATCTTACAAAATGCCATAATGTATATAAAAATCTGCTGCACATATACAGAAGATAAATACCCGTGTGTATGTATTTCTCCACCCCCATCCAGCCCTAGGACATACACAAACGCATACTGTTGTGGAGGATGACAACGTACACGCACACAAGGAGCGGGCACTTCTTATTTCAGGATGCATACACACAGTCCAGAAGGATCCTGAAAAACGTGTAGAGAGTGGAGAAAAGAGTATGCAACCTCTCTCCATTGGGGTCCCTAGCATATAATGCTAAGGAGCTGCTTATTATTTGTCTCCTCAAAGATACCAAGGAAAGATAGAGAAAAAAATGCAGCCACTCCTCATCCCCGAATATCCTTCGTATTTTAGAACTTCTACAGCAGCACCAATGATTTGCAATCACCAACAAAAGAAAAATCTTAACTAGAGCCGGGGACTGGATGCTGCTGTTGACTGTGGCTACTTCAGTGCAACCATGATTCTAGGAGTCAGATTCATCCTGTTTACTGTATTACTACATTACGGCAGTAACTTAACCAAGGGGACTTTCACCACCCAGAAACCAACTATTTTCTGTAATTATTTTGAGACAATCATCATGTTATTTCTCCTGTATTAAAATTTGAGGGTGTAAAAATCTAGCAGAGCAAGCACTGTCCGTGGACTGTAGGTTGGTAACGTAACATGAGTTAGCTCTGTAAAAAAGAACTGTATTTCACAGTCTCTCTGATTTTGTTTTACACGCTGCAGAAATCCGGTCACCCTGGCATCTGAGATCTCACTGCAGACAGTTAACTCTTTGGGCCAGTATCTTCCTCAGCTTTCCTGACTTCAAACCTAATCGATTGTTGGGCTCCAACAAAACTGAAAACATTGCTGCCTACCCGTTGAAAGGGCATACAAAGAGGAGCAAAGCCAGGCAGTAACACCAAAAGTCTGACTTCAGCCAGAGGGAAACAAAAAGACATCACCTTGTACAAGGTGTATGACCTCTTTTGCTTATGATACACACGACACCTAGCTGCAAGGGCTGGCATGTCCTCTACAGCAGAAGAAAATCTGTCAGCTAAGATCAAGACACGAAGATAAAGGCTTAACCACTTTCTTTAAAGCCCCAGCCTTGAGAAGCGTCAATGTTGTTCATCAGCTCCATGCCATAATCAGTGTCTTGTTTTAACACCAGTGGTAAGTAATCTTACTAAAAGAAAGCTCTTGCATAATCTTCCCTTGAAAACAGAACTCACGGCAGTTTTTCAATTTAGCATAAAGAAAAATAATGCAACTCTCTACATAATCGTAACTATTTTCCCATATGTTTTATACTTGCCCCTGAGGAATCAGTGGTCCCATCCACTTCATCAGTGATGGTGGGACAACTACCAAGAGAGGTTGTGCAACAGAGAAACTCAAGGCACCATTTTTCCCCTCACCAGATGCAGATGACATATCTATCTATCCCACGGGCATCAGCCATTACAGCTATCCAGGGGATCTGCTGAAAGACAGTCATGTTCCACAGCACGGCTCATCCTACAAATTCTGACATATTTCCTGCTCAGATTTCCCTTTTGCGATACGAGAGCATCCTCTCAATGAAAAGGCTTTCTTGAGCATCATGCCGTGGAGAAATGCTTGGCTTTGGGAGCTGGAAGGTAAGTTAGGAGAGGAGCTAAGAGATATTACAAGGAGCCAAGGACCTTCATCTGGTAACACGTGTCTTCAGAGCCTTTCAAGAATTACAAAGGCTACAGAGAGAGTTCTAAGGTTTCTGGCCACTTTAACCACACATGTTCAACTGTGGGTATTCAGAGCAATTCCAGTTCCACAGCAGTAGAAAAAAAAAAAAAAAGAATAAAACCTCCCAAACAATTAAACTACTGTCAGAAAACCGCAGTTTCCAATCCTAAACTGTCATTCAGAGGATATACACCATTACAGTGAATGCCACTTAAATAAAGGAGGTTTAAAAGCCTTTTGTAAAATAGTGGTTAACAAAAGTAACAAACAACATAACTAACTGTGACAAAGTGCATTGGTAAGGAGGAGGGAAAACTCCCAGGCGGCTTTGGAAACCTCCTTTTGCTGCTAACCTCTTTTAAGTGCACAAAGTGAGTGTGAAAGCCTGGCAAGAGCTAAAGGCACATCTCGGATTCTTCAGCACACACTGCCTATGTGAAACAGTAATTGTTTTGCAATTTCAGGCATATACTGTGCTGTCATTTGAAAAAAGTGATGGATGAGAAACTGGAAACCTCAAGGAATTAGTAATAGGATATAAAGCATTTCACCTCTAGGTCACCAGTTCAAATTCAACCAGGTTGGTAGTGACCAAAAGTAGTTACCATCTGGCAGCTGTTCTCTGGCTGATGTAAACTGAGTTGAGGGTCTCAGCGCATTTCCTAGTGGACAGGTGTCCTCATCACAAAAAACACCATAATTAACTCTCTGTTTGGCTTTCTCAGCAAAGCCACTGAACAACGAATGGAAGTAAAGACTGAGCTATATTCCAAGTCAGCATGAATGCATGTTGGGTACAGATTCTTAATTATAATTCCTCTTTATATTTTAAGACACACAGATTAGGGAGGGACTTAATTTATCATCATTACATTAAGCAGAGTAGCCTTTCCAACTCAAGAAAGAGCTCAGGTGCTGCTGTTTCTGCTCAATGCAGATTTCTTTTCAACATGCAGCTACAGCAGAGTTTGGAAACACAACGAATGAATGCATAATATAATCCCATTACTAAAACCAGTAAATTTACAATCCCATTATTAAGAACGGTAGATTTACCCTAATGCACTCACTCTGTCTCAAAAGCCCCTTATTACAGAAGACTCGGACACAGAAAACAAACTGTTTTGGGACTGTTGCATACAGGTTGAGATTATCCAACTTTGGAAATAAGAGGAGACTTACCATAATAAAAAAAAATATGAAGATGGCATCCTTTAGGTCAACACCAACCACGGCGGGGGTTTGGGGAAGAATACCATCCACAGTTCTAATAATAGCTTTAAAATGCATCTCTTGCAGCTAAAAGTTCTGATCCACGTCTCTCTCAAGGAACAAACAAGACAGAGCTCTAGGCTGAACTGTGTGTGGCCAAGGCTTCACAATATTATGCATGGAAAACAACGGGGGGGGGGAGTACTCCTTTATGCAGATTTTTCCTCAACAGGAACCAGGAAAATTTCTTGAGTCTACACATGGCCCACCTGTGCTCTGCACAAGACATGGGACCATCTGCACATGCCATGCGTATGGCATGACCTGCTGATAGGCACCATCTGAACCACCTGTCGGCATAATTTGTTCAGCTCCATTATATCTGAAATTGTTAAAACGGGTATAGTTATCATATGCCCTCTCTCATTTTGGTGTTTGTGGAATAAAGGCAACTAGAACAGAATTAAAGTATCCCATGCCTTTCAACACGCAAAGCATTTCTTGAACATCAGTGGCTTGTAAGCCTGAGCCAAGGGCTACTGGTGCTGAACAGTGAAGAGTGGGAAAAGTTGTTCCAGGGAAAAACCCTACCCCAACTTGGCTAAAATACAGCCAGAGCTCATAGGTGGCTAGAACATGGCACTTCGGGCTGAAGAGTTTGACGTGGTTCAAGCGGTAGCTGACTCTGGAATGTTCTTAGCACGCCTTCAGATAATGTTAACTTTAAATAAACTTGCTGAATACTCATGTAAATTATTTCCATTTGGCTGTCTCATTATTCAATATGCTTTCAAGGAACATGGTGATGAAAGAAGAAAAATACCTCTTTCTAACATAACCATACTGGCAAGAGGATCAACATTATCAGTATTCAAAGAATGTCTTGGCAGGATAAACCTTCATAAAAAGAAGGAGCACTAGCTAATCCAAGTTGTCAAAATAGCAATAGTACTTCAAGGGTTGATCTGCAAAGTGATTCATTATTTATTGCTAATGCAAACAAAACATTCTGAGCAGAAAGAGCAATCGAGTATTTCCTATCTCAGAAATCCACTGACAGAGAGTACACAACATGAACCCTAGGGTGACTGACAAAAGGACATCTATTTTCTTCTGTTTCCTATACTAGAAAACAACCCAAAGGCAGGAAAAGCATCGTGGTTCTTCACAGAAATTGGACACTTAATGGTAATGTTTTCTGAACTAGGACAGATATGAAATGTGGCACAATAACAGGAAAAATTTCTGGAAATTTCACTCAGAAGCACAAGACACACACTTTCAAAAAAACCCATGGTGGAAATAAAACATGCAATGTATTGTGCATCCTAAAAACATATATACATTAAACAGCTCAATCAGAGGCCTGATTTGTCAGAAGAGGTTCCTGCTAGAATCAACCAGGAAATCATTTTCAGATGCCTAAACTCAGAAACTTCCATGAAAGTTTCAGCCTCATTATGCTCTTCCTCAGCAAAGCACAGGCTATGCTTTCCTTCATTTCTTATAAAATACAGGACTTTAAAGACTTTTTTTTTTAATGCACTGGTTCTGTCATTTATTTTCAAAATTTCTTTGAAATACACTGACTTACACTTTTTTACTGACTACCCTTTCTACTCTTTCAATCCATCTTCCCTCGTCTCCTTCTGTAATACCTCATCTCTGCTACCTTCTTGCTCTTTTAAGCCTCGGAACCTGATCTTACTCCCGACATGTATGTTCTCCCATTGCAACAGAAAGTATTGGCTCAGCCTCAAGAATCTGGGATTACAGGAACTCCTCTGAATAATCGCACATACAATTTTTAAAAAGTAATATATAATCTACAAGCTACGTGAAAAAGACAGCCATTCTAAGAAGTTGATTCTTTCTCCTAGTACATTTCAAACAGAAGTAGAACAGTCACCACAAAATCACAGACAACCCAATTCAGTAGAGTATTACTCTAGCACAGATATACTGTAGTAACACTATAGGAAAAACACCTTCTAATCTGAATTAATAATTTAATTAATACTTGGCATCTGAAGGAAAAAGAACTAATGAACATTCATGTTCTATGACATTACCGTAAAAAGGATGCACATAAGACCTGCTCAAAATTGTTATGCACTGGAACTTCAGAATTTCAAATTCCTTAAAAGGTATGACATAATTTTTTATTTTGCAAGGAATGACAGCAGCAGTACAAGCACAGGAATCTGGATTCAAAGTTTTTTAACATTCTCATACTATTTTAAGGCATTCACCCATGCACAGACTATGCTTTCTGTACGATTTCTTAAGCCTTTAATTTTCCCTACTCAGCAACAGCTTCTGAGCGACCTCTTGTGTCGAAATATGTCTGAGCAGTTTCTTACTGTTTGGGGTTTTTTTTTTTCTAAATAAATAAAATGAATATAAGGCCGGGAGTGTAAAACGAAGAGCCCAGAAATCAGCACCATCTCTGTCATTTTAATGAATAACACTGCCTGCAGTAGCATTTGTAGCGTTTTACTTACTCAAATTGTGCATTGAAGAATTTACCTCTGAAGCTAACAGGATAGGTAGTCAAAAACAACGTGCAAAGGCTACTAGCATGCCGCTCTCCACACCATTTTTGCAGTAAGTATTGTGAAAAAGACATGCGAGCACATTCTTGCACATTATTGCCACTGTATTAAAGTAAAAACAGAAAAAACGAAAAACAAGATATGTAACAGTCTAATCAAAGGGGGTGAAATCAAAATACCATAAAGAAATCAATGGCAACTTGTCAGAGAGGGCAAAACCAAGCCACAAATAAAAGACCAAATTAATCACTTTTAAGACCAACACTGTGAACCACTGCTAGCTATGTCAAGGAGCTTAACACAGTCTAAGAAGTGCACGTTCCCGAGATCTCCGGTTTCAAACTTTCTATAGTCCCAACGAAATAAGGCTGAAAGTAGCTACACTTTCTCAGCTTTGGAATACGAATTCTGCAGCCGCAAGACTTTTGCCTGGCTTTCATTTAGCACAGTATCTACACTTTGGTACTTCAAAATACATACATAAATCTAATCAGAGCATGCTATACAACTCCAGAAGAAGGATGGGCAACCCATTGTCATTTCAAGAACGCACGGTGTCATTCATCATTCCCACTGAAAAGGAACTGAAGCGTGAGCATTTGATTGGCAGAGTAACTGATCAAAACTGCTCAATGAACAGGTCAAATCGCAAGATCAACAAACGAAATTATTTTAGAACAGAAAAAGAATTGCTGAGGGATCCAGCCACGAGATGTCACTCTCTGTTTTGTGGTAACTTGGAAATTCTTTTGCGTAGCTTTTTTCTCAGAGGTGCCAAACCCAGGAGTACAGCCAATAAAATTAGCTACGTTAAACTGGGGTCGGGTAATGGAGAACTGCTCAGCATGTCGTTTCTGTAGCTGCGTGTGCAATTTCTGTAGCTATGTTGAAAAATTACTGTTCAGTATGCTGTAAAGTCAGTGGCCGCCAAGCAGCCTCTGAATCCATTCCAAGTCTACACAAAGAACCACTACCACAACGAAAGCATGTCATTATAACATGTTACTTTTACTTGCACCAATGTAGCAATTTTAAAAAATTTTTTTAGCCTTTTTAAAAATTACTGTTCAGTATGCTGTGAAGTCAGTGGCCTCCAAGCAGCCTCTGAATCCATTCCAAGTCTACACAAAGAACCACTACCACAACGAAAGCATGTCATTATAACATGTTACTTTTACTTGCACCAATGTAGCAATTTTAAAAAATTTTTTTAGCCTTTTTAAACAAAACCATCATTACATATTAAGCTCTTGTGACTCAGTGTACAGCAAGCTACCTGTATGTGCTACAGTGTCTATCCAGATAGAAAGCCTAACCAAGTCAGTTTGGGGAGTTTTTTTCAGCTGGCTTAGGTCAACACTTGGTCAGGCCCTGTGGCCTAGCAGGGTCTCGCTGCTTTGCTCTGCAGAACACCACCACCATCTTTACTAACTGCTAGCATGTAATGTAAAATCACTCTTATGCTAGTATCATGCAAAATAATTTTGATACTTCGTTCGTCTAACCAGACATCTGTTAGAGCAGACCAAAAGGCAGATCTGAGCCTGAGTTTTAGAAGTTTATGATCAAAACCTGTAATCATCAGAAAATGCACATCTGTGAAGAGAAGAAAGAAGCGGAAGTTCAAAACAAACCTACGATGAAAGAAAATTCCTAGCAATGAAAGATTTTATGCAAGTATTACATGAACTGCATAAATTCATCAGAAACTGATCCTTAAGATATCTGATAGACAAAAAACTCATTACCTTATCATGTGTTAAGGTTATCCTCAGGTCTGGTTTTATGATACCATATGCTATCAGTAGATCTTGGACTTTCTTCAGTTCTTCCTTACATTTTCTATTTGTTGAGTAAAATTGCTTTCTTACAGGAAGATTCTTAAACAACTTTAGGACTGTTACTGTAGTACCTGCAAGCAGGTGACAAAAAAATGTAGAAATTACACTGAAAGCATACCACTGACTAGATATTGAGGAAACTTCATTATTACTTGAAGACACCTGTCTGTCTCTATACTGGTGTATACAAAATAAACCCTAGTAACACTAAAGTAGATTATATCAGCATAAGAAATATACCAAATTTGCAGTCATCCTCCCTAAAACAGCATCTATAGGGCTGGGATTACCCTCCTTTATCTAGTTACAATTGCAGCATTAAGCTTTCTTTCGTACACACTGACAACAGCAAGATTCAGCACTAAATAAAGCTGAAGACTCATTCAGTGCGTACGAAGTTAACTTTCATTCGCAAAATGGTTAACCAACTATAATCTCATCAGACATATTTGGAGGCAAGGGAACACTGAGTTCAATTAAGGCCCTTCATAAGCATTTCTAGTACTACCTAAGGGCCTGATACCTCTGTTCAAGGCACAGTACATCGTAAGAGGAGGAATATTAATCCAGCACAAATCACATGAATTCGTATTCTGTAAGGATATTGCAAAGTATTAAATATGCCACAGAATTCAGTAAATCATTCAACAATTTTGACAGAAGACAAGGCAATGCAACCCACAGGCTTCCCAGCCACGGAAAATACTACAGCCTACATCTTAAAAAGAGTCCCTGGAGTTATTTCTTAAAACAGGTGCCTGGAGTTCTTAGCTTCAGCTCTTTCTTCAGTATTTGCCCACCAACTAGCTCTCTGCAGCTTCTTCTGGCTTAATGGCTCCCTGCGGCCAGTTAGCGCTGAGGAAGGGAGCCGGGTGGGCAGCCAGCTCCCCATCGGGGTACGGGCACAGCAGCCAGCTGCAGGGCAGCTCATGGGAACAATACTGACAAGCAGCTGAGTAAAGCACACAGTAGAACAGATGCTACTCCAAACCTACACCACGCCTGAACCACTCAGACCGCCTCTGAGGTGAGGGCAGCCTTTGATCTTCCAACGCAACCAACCAGGAGGATTTCTAGCAACATACCCTTCCTGCAGGTTAGAAAGACCCATGACTTTGCCTGGTGCTACAGCCAGGCTGCTTCCAGCTACTCCTTCATATAGCAGCAGCGCAACTCTTCCTCCTTTCAGCAAGGGTTTTGCTAGGTACTGAAACATTATCTCGGTCCTGAACAAACCTTTCATATACTTTATAGTAAGTCTGCCTAGACCTGGGGCATTGAATTTTTATAGCTTTTATTTCCACTATCTTGAACGAGTCAAGAGAACGAGAAACCAGTTCATAATTACCATCTAAAGCAACTTCCAAGACATACTGTTTCTTATGATAACAACACATTCTCAGTCAACAGACACAAGGCAAGAAATGTTTACAGCTGCAAAGATTTCAGACTCAGCCGTCAAGTACAGAACAGGTATTTCAACATCCAGCAGAGCCTCAGAGGAACATAAACCACTCCTGTCACAGCGCAACACCAGAACAATGATATCCTACCTTGCCCAAGATGGGAAGGCTTTTTAGAAGTTACACGCCCACTGCTATCCAAAGCATACTGAGTGCTGAAATCATCATCAGCTGTCTTTGTTGTGATCAAAACCTGAAAAGAGTGATTTAAAAAAAATTAAAAATGTTAATCAAGGATTCACAAAGTTCAGAATGAGCTTAGATAAGCTTTGCTACCATTCTTCTCATTGTGTAATTGTGGTGACTAAAATAACATTTGTTTACAAAAGTTGTCTTCTACAGGTGTTTCTTACAGTCACGGACACATTCTGCATGATTACTCATTTTTCCATCCCTTTAACTAAAAGCCACGCATTTCTATCACATCAATACACAAAGCACCGCAATCCCTACTACCTACAACACATAATTCTACATCTTCTATCCAAACATATGTTAAATAATTAAGTCAATAATTTTGAATTTTCATCCTTTGTGAAAGAAGACGTACTACGACAACTTCTCAAATTCATGTGAGATTCCACAAACATAACAACTACTACCAAACCAACAGCATATTATCTTCGCACACCCAAAAATACCTAGCAATCAGTAGCAGCATGTTTTGTAAGCCATTAAGGTAATACGCAGATTAGCTTTAGCAAGACCAGTCACAAACAGAAGTTCAATAAAACTACAGCTCCCTGAGTTTGGGGGGATCAACACTTTGAAAAATAGAACCTCTGCATTTTAACCACCTAAAAGACATAAAGGTTATCACACATACAGAGCTTCAGGATATTTCAGGTTTTTTAGCATTTCATATAAATCATTTGGAGTTCAGCCTTGCCTCTACAGAGAGCAAACAATAATTGATTAATTGGAAATGACAATATTACAGACCTACTTATGGACCAATAGTAAAGTACCTCTTAACTGAAACTTCAGGGGGCAGTTTGGGTAGGCAGAACACAATTAATGCCAGGAGTGGTTAATTAACACAATTACTGATTAAAGTAATACCTATTAAAGTACTTAATACATTCAGGCCACCTCCCACCTCTTATGAAAGGTATCACAGAGCTGATTAAAAGCTCAGAACAGATGGCATCCTGCTCTGACAACTCATTAGAAGGAACCAATGATTGAGGCCTATCATCACCTGTCAAAACACCAACACTTTTGAAAGCATCTTTGGAAATCTCCATCCAAACACACAACCCACTCCTGCTCAGTGCAATGTGAATGTAGCCCAAGGTAGCAAGGAGTCAAGCTCTAACATCTCTCCTGACCTTAGCAGTTCACAGTTCCGATTAGACAGAGAGACCGGTATCTTCTTGCAGGATCTAATCCTTGGCAGACTTAAGAGAGTCCAAAACTTCACCTTGGCGCAGCACAAATACAGAAAGGCAGAGCACAACAGAACAGGTAGGTGCCATGCCCCTAACAGCCTGAACACTTCTCAGATGGTATTGAACCAACTTACTCCCTTTCAGTCAACAAGTTAAATCCTAAATATCAGTACACTGATGTGTGTACAGTACAGATATCAGTACACAAAGATATGGATCAGACTCGGATAGGCCAGGGAGCAGGTTCCTGTTTACTCATTCGGACAACAACGTTTGTGCAATTGCAGTCGTATACATGTCAAGGAGCAACACGGAGCCCAGCAAGATCCCATGACTGCCCATCACCTTGATAACCTCAAGGCATAAATCGTTACTGGAATGGTAGCTATGTGGGCCATCAGTTCCCTGACATGATTTCTCTTGGCCACCACCTGCTGTTCCTCATTTTGATTTACCCTAATCCAAATAGCAAACTCAGCCATACTCTTTGACATTACATTTGCTGATAACACTAAAAAGGATAAGCCAGTGTTCTAAGGAATCATGTGTCTATACCCTGACACAAAGGAGAAGGAAACACTAAGCAATCTGTCTCTGACCTATTCCGACTGAGGAAAATAAATAGAAGGCTGCTTAACCAGTATGACAGAAAAGCAGCACTGACACTCACGAGACATCCATGCTGCTTCCTAACCATGACATGACTTCTGAGGAGGGGGGGAAAGGCAGCATACACAAGCCAGACTGTTTGGAAAACATAACCCTGGCAGACTGCTTGAACAATTTCAAGTCTTCGCACTGACATTTTAATAAAGATTTCACAAACACACATACACAAAAACCACGACACAAAAGACCTGACACATTTACTGCAGCTGCTCACCTCTGATATACTGCAAATGCATCCCAAAGCCTCCCCACGGAAACCGTACGTTGTCAACCTTTCAAGGTCTTCAGAAGAGCTTATTTTTGAGGTGTAGTGTTTAATTGCCATAACTGGAACGTCAGCAACCTTGATTCCATTGCCGTTGTCTCTTACTTCTATTTTGTTAAACCCGTAATTTTCCTAAAAAAGAACAAAACATGAAGGAGCACTAAAACAGCTGAATGAATTAAGACACATGTTTGAAGCAGCTGAAGTTACAGCTTCTAGCCATCCAGAGAGAAGTGGGAGTTTTTCTTATTTGGAGAAACTGAGGAACCATTAAATATCTTTTTTTTTTCCAAAAAAGAAAATAAATATTAAAAAAACACCCCAATATGCTAGCATAGTAGTGATGATTTCTCTAATTAAATAATGTTATTCATACCTTGGGGTTTGGAAATAGCACATAAATATAGATACAGTAAATCAAAATGGGAATTAAGTAATTTTGTTTTTAAACTACAATGAAATTTGAAAGACCTAAGCTCAGAAAAAGACCTATAGCTGGAAAGCTAAAGACTTCTCACTTCTGTTACCTGTTTGGTATCAATTTTGTCAAGCCACCACAAACGCAGCCCCGCAGCCACTGAAGTCAGTGGGCCCTCACTGAGAACTGTTTTCAATTTCACTCTTTATTTACACGATTTCACTACTACCGAGGTGCTCCAGTCTCTGTATTGTCACTCAACACACAGATGGTGAAATTCTAACGGGGGCAGGGCATGACTGGGAGCAGAAAGAAATAAGAAAGCTTCTGAAGAGATACAATACTCCACAGAAAAAAGTAAAGGTTCTTAGAGGCTCTTTCAAAAACCGCTTTCAAGGAAACAAAGTTCAACCTTTGTGATTTACCTTTACATACAAGCAATACATATTTTACTGAACTCGGATTTAAATATGTCATTTCAATAAACACCAGCATAAATAGGGTAAAACTCTGAAAACTCAGATAATTAGGACAGCTAAATAAAATACGGAATTCAGGTTCTATAACATCTCAAACAGCAAACAAATGCTTCCTTCCAGCTACATTATAATCTGCACCCCTAAATCACACCCAAAAAGAATCACAAGCCAGGAGGAGTAATTAATGCTTCTTCTTTTACACAGGCATGCCTGGCTCTTTGAAAAAGATTATGATGTAACACACAGAAAAATGTGCTGTAATGTGTAATACGTCTAGGTGACCTTAGAACTGGTTTTGCTTAGAAAGAATATCTTGAATGAGGGGCTACCACCAGCGATCCTGTGCAGAGCACGTGATGGCTGCTCACAGAAAGCTGACCGACTAAACAGAACTAACTTTCTTGTCCCATCTGGGCATATACTGAAGGCAGCCATGAACAAATATAATGCACTCCCAGGGTTATTTCTTGAAGTAAAGAAATAATGCAATTGAAACCAAAAGGGAAGGTATCTAAAGATATTATCTGTATTCCCACATAATCTGCGTTAAGAAGCATCACAAGCCTCTGAGGTAGGCAGAGACCTGTATGTATTTAATTAACTGATACACAATAGAAATGTGGGTCCATTTCACATTCCATATTAATGAATGGTGCTAAAGCTATCTTCAGGTGAAAAACAACGCTTTTGCCAATATTTGAGTCAATCTCCTACTGGGAAGCAAAACAGAACCTAAGCAATAGACCTCAACTGAACATAAAAACACATGAGGAGATACAACAATGAAACCTTCTACCCCACTGCTGTACGCGCTAATCAAGGGTTTAACCATTTTGCAATGCACCCCTATTTTCCACTCCAATTCTTACTTTCAGACCACTTAAATGTTTAGGAAAAGTGAGATTTATCTTCCTCAACTTGGATCAAAATGTTACATGAATTATTCTCTTCTACTTTTCTAATATTATTCATTTTTACTTGCATACATTTTACTTTAAAATATTACAGTGCTTAAACTTTGTATTCCGTAACACCTTCTGCCATGCTACATGACCTAAATACTAGTGAAGTCGTGATCCCATGAGGTGTTTAAGTTGCTCCACCAGATCACGGATGCCAAACCACATGGTTCAACTCCCTCCTCTTTTACTGATGACCGCACGGTCCCATCTTTGTTTCAGCTACAGCTCTGTTACTCATGAGAGCTCTAAGGTCAATTCAGCTTATTTAACTGGCACAAAAGCTTATTTAACTGGCACAAATAATCCACTTTTCTTGCTGGGCTACTCTCACATTAGCAAGACGAATGGATCATGAGAGGCAGAAATGTCTAGCAATGCCATGCAGATAGATGTAGGAGTTTGCTTTTCAGGCGATGAGATGGATCAGGTGTACAGCAGAACCTCACCCTGAGCTAAATTTCCTCTGAGAAGGTTCTGAGGATTAAAGCTCCGGCTTCATGGATTGGAGAAAAAAAAGTTGCAGAAACAAGCGTCTGCCTTTTACAACAGCCATTTCGTATAGTGGTAGCAAAGCTGTAGCTAAGATTCGTCTTCTCTGAATCCTAACGTTGCTCCAACTACTAACACAGGCTGCTGCTCATCTTCTCTACTAATTAAAATATGCAGGTCTCAGTCAGCCTGTGAAGATTATTCTCATAAATTCCTGTTGTTGGAGGTCAGTAGGGAAACTGGCAGTCTGATGCCCACAGACTCTCTTTACCCATACACAAACAATTATATTGCTGCATGAATGTTTTTTAGCATACTTTAACCTGAAGCCAGGACATCATGTCAAGAATAAAACCATCACTCTACATATGCATAATGCACAGCCATGCTACTGAGGCAGCTGACCCCATTGCTAACAACAAGGCAAGCTCCAGCCCGTAATAGCAACAAAGCTGAAGTTCAAATTAATAAACACCTTATGGAAAAGCCACAGTTCAGTTCCTAATCAAACGACTGGCTTTATACTGTAATGAAAGCAATACCACATTACTTAAAACTACAGTATGAGCTGACATTTTTCTCAGGGCTGCGTAAAAGCTAGTTGAGACACAGTGCAAAGACGCTCAGTAACGTCACCTCCTTGAGTTTGGTCAACCAAGAAGTTAACTAGAACAAATCACCAGACAAAGCTTCCTGCTACAGCTGGCCACTGCCGTGGTTTCTACCCGAGCACCATTCCACCCGCAGGTTAACTCCTGTCTGTCCATCTCCACAAAAAGTCACTCCTGTCTTTGTTCAGCCAAATCATGTCACAAGTCTGAATGAATCAGCTAGCCTTCCTAATCCAACTGGAAACAGTTAAAACAATGAAAATGCTGTGAGTTTCAGGCAAAACCCACCAAGCTATAAAATTAAATGCCAAAAAGTTTCCATTCTCTATTTTGTTTTTGAATCAATCCAGAGTTAATATGGTCAACCTTATTTACATTGATAAAAATAGTATTTTGCTATAAAAATATACTTACCACAAAAAAAAACCAGAAAAAGAATCCCCCGTTTTACGGTATTACCATGTCAGGCTGCACAAAGCGCAAGTTTTCTCTTCTCCCCTAGTACTCACAATAACAGTAAGTAAATCTTGTTTACTCACTGGCAATTTTTGTAAAGCCAGGTTGGTTTTTCTGTTTCAGAAATAGAGCAATTGGGATTGAGCTGAACTGACAAAAGAATGTAACAGTAGTGCAGATGACTCATGTACCGGAAATGGTTGAAAACGCTCTTTTTAATTGATTTGGGATCTCTCGCTACGGAAACAGCTCGTTACTGCACTGTGAAACCCACGCTGATCAGAGGGCTTTCTCCTCTGGCTATCCGCAAGGCTCTGTATCGGCACTCCAGTAAGAGAGGCAAGGTTTGTTCTAACCAATTTTTGCAGGCTCCAAAACCTTCTGTTGACTTCTTGCAGTTATTGATCGGCTTCCAGGATCTGAATCTGATACCCTTACCCCCAGAACTGCGCAGACGCTGCTCACTTTGGAGTTACTCATGAAGCAAGATACCACGCAGCCTAAATATTGAGAAGACAGAGGTCTTCATAGACCATAGTGAAGACGGAGTATCTTCAGCTCACTTAAGGCAAATAACAAATAAGCACGTTCCATGGCATCTGCAAGAAACCATACTCAGATGGAAAACACCTGAGACTCATTCAAAAAAAGACAGCAGTGACACGGACAAAGAAACAAGCAGAAATTGAATTGCCCTCCTAATTAAGAGCATTTGTCTAACGCTTAATTCAAGAATAGCTGATACATTCACTGTTATTTGCAGGAAAGGAAATTGGATGCAATTCTGGATACATCCAGACTGTAACAACAACACACTTTCTTACTAAGGAGGAGATACCACTACTATGCAGCTGTTGACAAAACACTGCAAAACCAGAAATACTCATGGCAGCAGAAGCTGATCACTTAGCCATTTTACCCAATTTGGGAAAAAAAGCACAAGTTCTCTATTATAAGCACTATTTTATTGTTTCAGAAACTATCCCAGAATGATATGCCAACTTTTTATTTTTATAAGATGTTAAAAAAAAAAATGTTAGAAGTAGCCACAGCTCACCATGCTAATTAGTAACCACACGGTAATTTGTATTACAGAAACATCTAGCATGGCAGTCAACCTTTTCCACTGTTTCCATCTTCACCTTTCTGGCAATATTTTATAATGAGCATTAAATATGCCAGTCTAGCTGTGAAACTTAACTCCAGCATCTTTTAAAATAAGCTATTAGTCAGAAAAAGTAAATTGTTAGTAGGAAAAGAAGTATTACAAAAGTTGACAGTTGTTCCCCAAGATATACTCAGGAGCACAAATATACCTTACTGTTTCAGTGGGGCCTCAACAACGGAAATGGAAACTCATTTTGGACCATTTTTATTTGAGATTAAAATATATATGTATATCTAAATACCGTCAATACCCTTCCATTTCCCAAACCACAATAGCCTAAAAAAATACATTCGCAGTGAACAACTTTCCTTGCATCTTATTTTACATCCAATTCTTTGTAAGAGAAAGAAAGAGGACTCACCAGTTTAACATCAATATTTGTGGCACTGGCATCCAAGGAATTTTCTATCAGCTCCTTCACCACGCTGACAACTGATGTAATCACCTGAGAACTTGAAAGGAGACGAATAGTTTCTGCCGGCAGCTGTTTCATAGTGGAACTGAGAGTCAGAGAAGCTGCATAGAAAAGTAACAGAAAAAGAATGTAAAAGGCACATTACAAATGCATATTTCTAAGGAATTGTTTTACAGCAACTCTCAAATGTAGGCAAAACATAGCATTACAGCTAAAAAGTATAATTTTCAAGATACAGCAGGACCCAGCTTCCTCTGCAATCAATGGGAGCTTGACTTGAGGAAGAAACAGAACACAGGTCTAGACTAGAAAACATTATTTTAAGCAGATTAAACTTCTACTTAAAGAACATTAAGAATTCAGAGAGTTATTGATCAAAACAGTATCTCACATGTATGTAGTCCTTTCCTGTAAATTACTGCAACAGGTGGTTGTGATCTCGCAATTATGACAGAGTAGGCAGACCAGATGGCAACCCAGAGCACGAGTCGGAAATGTCTTCAGATCGATCATTTACCCAGCATCAAGTCTGATTCCAGCACTGATGCAAAAAAAGTAGAAATTTTGATTAAATTTTTTTTATAAACTCCTTGCATCATGTTTTCCCTGCATTCAGAATTTCTGAGCTCAGCTCTGTTGTGTTGCACGTACAATTCCCAGTATCCAAAAATTCATAGAAGCAATACGACCTGAAGGTTTCAGAGCTGGGAAAGAAGTGGGGAGGAAGCACAGTGGTGCTGAGGCAAAAGTTGTATTCAATGGCAATGCGATTTACTGGCAATAATGAGTAAAAAAAATAACTTCTGGATTATAACCTTGCCCCTCTGATCAGACTTACTGTGTGCCCTCAGGCAGGTCACTTTATTTCTGTGTCTCTGTGTCTTCCACTTGAAAAATGAGATTTTTTTTTTTTTTTAATCACTGAAAGCAGTTTTTCCCTAGAGATTCTGCTGCATTACAGAGACACTCTACCATGAAGAGATTGTAAGTGGATCTGGAAATTTTTGCACGCATTTCTGTTTAAGTACCCAAGCAGACACAATTAACCCAGCTCCAGGAAAAATCTTTGCTGACCCTTTACTCAAGGAACTCAATACAAGAAAGGAAAGAGAAAGGGCACTACTAGACTACTCTTTGCACCTCGAGAACGGTTCAGACGTGGGTTGCGCTCTGTCCTACAAGCAACATTTCTTCTCTCCACAGCAGCACTCTTTACTGGGTTACGCTACGTAATGTTATTTACATCAAATGGCAAACAATCCTGGCAGCCCTGGCTTCCCCATCGATTCCGTCCAAGCTGGAGAGCACAGACCGCAGGCTCAGCACCTGTCCCAAGGACACCAGCGCGTGAGGAGGAACGGAGCAAACCCCGATCTCCTCCCGACACGGTCGGGGCACAACGCCCGCCGAGCACCGCTGTCCTGCGGCGTATGCACCGCTGGCACAGCAGTTACGGGACACCGCTCTGCCTCCGCACCCATCTCAGCACTGCCACTCTTTTAACGTAAAAGACAACGCAAAAACATGGTTACTTGGGAATAAAAAAAACAGGTATGGTGTTTTGAGGAGCAGGCAGCATTAATTCTAAGCACAGCTACAAAGAGGTTTTCTCTTTATACTCATTATTTACCTTCCAAAGGGAGTTTGCCTTTCAGATGAGGTAAAAAGATCTCACAAATCAGTTTTCCACCAAACAAACCGGGAAAGAGGAGCGCGGGCAGGCGCATGTTGCTGAGGACAGCCCAACATTAATCATGTACACGCGTCCAGAGGGGCAGGTCCCCTCAGACATCCACGCGTTGCACAGGGCTCCCGTGTCCAGCCCTTCAACATTTACCGACAACAAGGAGCGCGGGCAGGCGCATGTTGCTGAGGACAGCCCAACATTAATCATGTACACGCGTCCAGAGGGGCAGGTCCCCTCAGACATCCACGCGTTGCACAGGGCTCCCGTGTCCAGCCCTTCAACATTTACCGACAACAAGCGCCAGATCGGAGCTGGGCATCTTCAGGAAAACACACGGGCTAAGACAGGGGTGGGTGTTGAAACAGAAACGTTGCAGATCCCAAAGACAACGAATTTGGGGTCCATGCATTGTGACGGGAGCGGCCGCGCTGGGAGCGGAGCCAGCTCCCG